GAGTGGCAGCTTCCAGTTTGTGGCTTGGTCCTCCAGCCAGGTCGCTAAGTTCCTCCCCTTCTGTAGAAATCGCAGTTCTTCTGGACCAGCTGTCCAGCTGACAGCTCCAATGCCATGTGGCTGGTAGGGGAACCCAAGCCTGCCCTCTACACTGGGTTCCAGCCTAGGGACCCTATAACATGCAGCCAAGGCCTGTATCGTCCTAGCCCTTGCTGCTGTTTCCATGGGCTTCTTCCTACTTATCTGGGTTCACACTTCTGTAAAAATCAAAGTGGTTTAGACTTGTAATAAACAAGTCGGATAGTTCAGGGCTAGTTTTATAGTATGGCAGGTATGCATCATCTATTATTAGTAGCATCCATAAGAGTGGGTTTGATACCTTTCCGAATGGATCAAGATCTACATTAACATTGTTCTTATTATGAATACCACTAAATGATCAAACTGTTGTAGCTGTACCCTGGGTGGAACCTGTAGCTAGAGGAGAGAAGTCCTGAATGGCACAGCTCCTCAAGGAAGCATGTGTGGGGGATAGAACTACTGTAAAATAAGGGTGGTCTGATTTAAATTAGAGAGAGCACAGTGAAAATTAACCAAGTGTCAATTTTATACCTTACCTCCAGAACAAAAGGTCACTTCCATGTCATTTAAAAGTAGAGAGACTTAAAACCAGTTGTTTACCTGCTGTTGTTGGTGACCATTGGGATGTAGCCGAACATGCTAACTTTTAACCAATAGATGTGTAACTCTGTATTTTCAGATAAAAAGGGTAATTGCATGCTTTAGCATGCAGGCTACCCTCTTGCATTAGAGCTCCACCTCCCTGTCAGCTCAGATACAGCACTGCACAAGTGGCTAGTCACTTTCTTGAGACTCTGGTGGTGGGAATTGAGTAGCATTCCCTGTCAAAGCTAGAATAGCAAACTAAGAGGATCAACTGATCAATTCACTCTGTTTTTATTTAAATGATGCCTGATACTCATATGCTACATGTCACTGTTGGATGAAATCACTTTCTTCATAGGCTGTAGCATATCTCATATGACCAATCAGGGGTTAAAATCTACCTCAATAAATTAGGTAAAGTCAGTGTTTTGTGCCCAATAATTAATTGTGTAAACAGTTCTATAGCATCAGTTGACTCAAATGAAATCTGCATGTAATGTAGGAACTAACAAGTTGATTAAAGCAGTGGGTCTCAAACTTTTTTACTGGCGACCCCTTTCACATCGCAAGCCTCTGAGTACGACCCCCCCATATAAGTTAAATACACTGTTTAATATATTTAACACCATTTATAAATGCTGGAGGCAAGCGGGGTTTGGGGTGGAGGTTGACAGCTCGCGATCCCCCACATAATGACCTTGCGACTCCCTGAGGGGTCCCGACCCCCAGTTTGAGAACCCCTGGATTAAAGGAAGGATAGACTCATATGTGGGCATTCTAGCAGCAGAAAATAGTGACTAATTGTGTACTGTATCTGTGGTAGGGGAATAGATTTAAAACACAGGTCCCTGCTGAGGAACGTGTATGAACTGATAAAGGTTGCTTATTTTCAAGAGTTACTCTTTCTCAGCCTTACGAGCCTGTCTTCAGCCCAGTCCTTGTTCAAACCAGCCATTGCACAATGAATCAAAGGCTGAAGTGGTAAGATATCTCCTGGAGAGTAGCATGACTGGTAACACTATAGACATGTATGCACTGAATCCATTTTTAATAAAATACTCTCTTCAAGTAACAGACAGTTTGTCCTCTTGTGTCTTTCATTCAGAGGTCTGTAGAAAACTAATGTTAAGCAGAAAGCTTCCTTTCCCCTGTCCAAGTTACTAACACATAGATACTTCTAAATGGATTCTGTTGTAACACTTGCCTCCTCAGTAACTACTCCTAGACTGAGACTAAAGAATCTGTACTAATCGGATCATTGTAAGGTGAGTTGATATGAGCTATTTCATCTGGTAGCTGTCCTTGCACTACTTTCTAATTAAAAGTCATTGAGCTGAATGGCAGTAAGTGGAAAAAGACTAGTCGTCTTTTCTTCTGCCATTATAAACAATGATCTTCCAAATATAGCTTGCTCCACTTTAGGTTGTCTGATCCTTTCCTCCTGAAGAAGTATTTTGAAACGCTGCCTATCTGTGCCATTACTGTAGTGGACAAGATCATTCTTCTTACAGAAGCTGTACTTCAGGTAAGACGTTGATGACAGCAGATTAATTTGTATGACAGTCTCTTAACAGAGCAGTACCCTGGCAGAGTGGAGTTGAGCATCTTTTGGTAAATGGACCTGTGCCCATATATGAGCAAGACGTACAGTGGAATGAAAATAGTTCTTTCCCTTAAAGCTTCTTAAACTTTGATCAAGTAAAGCATACGTAGGCTTGCTACTGTGAAGTTATCTTAAATGGGGCAAGCCTACTCAATTTTGTAGTGTTAATGGTGGAGAAAAAAGCATCTTTCCTAATGGGCACTAAGATCATCTACTTGAATGAATTTGGCATTTGTGTCACAAGCTGCTATTATTTGGTTCTGGAAGGAGACATGTTACTCCTCACTTCAGAACTAGCTGCATACCTTGTCTCAGAATTTTTATCTTTCAGCTTTATTTTAATTATAAAAAACACCCTATTCCATTGTGGTGGGGCAGATGTGAGAATTGCAATTGTTCTAGAAAACTCTTTTCTGGACAGTTGGAAGAGGGCTGAATGCGCTTTGCAAATAAACAGTTGTAGTTAGACCACTTGACATGAGTATGAGCTGCTGTGCCCTAGACCAGTGACTCTCAACCTTTCCAGACTATTGTACCCCATTCAGGAGTCTGATTGTTTTGCATATCCCCAAATTTAACCTCACTTAAAAACTACTTGCTTACAAAATCAGACAGAAAAATACAAGTGTTACAGCACACTATTACTGACAAATTGGTTACTTTCTCATTTTAACCATAATTATAAAATAAAATCAATTGGAATATAAATCTTGTACTTACATTTCACTATATATAGCAGTATAAGCAAGTATTTGTCTGTATGAAATTTCAGTTTGTACTGACTTTGCTAGTGGTTTTTATGTAGCCTGTTCTAAAACCGGGCAAATATATGTACCCCCTAGAAGACCTGTGTGTACCCACAGGAGTACACATACCCCTGGTTGAGCACCACTGCCCTAGACAATGTTGATGTTTTTTCAGCAGTAGTAGTTACAAGATTTTCCACCAGAGTTACAATTTGCTATTTACCTACCTCGGCAGCTCATTGATCCACACCTTCTAGTACCAGTTTTGCCACTTGGATCTGAGCCCTTGCATTCCATCTGCTGAAAACCTTTTCTTTTGCTTGAACTAAGCACAGGGTAGGGAGGAAAAAATATACAGTTGGAATAAAAATAAAATAAAGCAGTTGGAAAACTAGAGGGCAAAGGTAGACTAGGGTTACCATACGTCCGGTTTTTCCCGGACATGTCCGGCTTTTCGGCAATCAAACCCCCGTCCGGGGGGAATTGCCAAAAAGCTGAACATGTCCGGGAAAATGCCGGCCGGGCACTTCCCCTCCCGCGGCTGCTCTGCTCCTCCCCTGACTCTTCGGCTCTTAGAGCCGAAGAGTCGGGAGGAGCAGAGCTTGGCTGGGAGTGGG